CACCTCTCACTCGCAATCTGCTCCTCCGCAGCGCCGCCCACCTCCCTCCGGCTGAAATTATGAATCTGTTACAGTTTGTTTTCATCTGATTTCAAATAAACAAAGTCTTGGCTTTCAGAATATTAAACTTGTTTCGGCAAATTTAGATGATAAATACAACTATGAAGCTTGTAACGGCATAATTACTTAAGCGGAGAACGGAGTAATTTAACGTTACAGCAGGCATAAAAACAGCCGGTGTTTATTTTATTATTATATATAGTTGTTATTCATTTGTTTTAAAGCTCAATAAGGAAGATTTAAACTTCCACACACGTTGACCGGCGAAAAACTCTGCCCGGTTCCCTCGGCCCCCACCACGTTGAATAAACAGAAGGCTGCTTTTGTGGAGGAAGTTACAGCGCTACGTACAGGCTCGGCATATGTACTGCAGCTTTTTCCAGCGGTATCCATAAATCTCTTAATTTTGACCTCAAAGTGCACCAGATTGATGCATTTAACTTCAATATAAAGAAAAACATCTTCTGTTGTAACAACAATAACATTATAAATAATAACATAGCTGAACATGGTATTGCACATTTAGCTTTCAGTGTTACTGACCTGAGATGTTTTTATTACATGAATTAAGGTGACTGAGGCTTTTTAACATAGACTTTTCCAATGTCTGAGATGATAAATACAACTATGAAGCTTGTAACGGCATAATTACAAGCGGAGAACGGAGTAATTTAACGTTACAGCAGGCATAACAACAGCCGGTGTTTATTTTATTATTATATATAGTCGTTATTCATTTGTTTTAAAGCTCAATAAGGAAGATTTAAGGTATCCATAAATCTCTTAATTTTGACCTCAAAGTGCACCAGATTCAATATAAAGAAAAACATCTTCTGTTGTAACAACAATAACATTATAAATAGTAACATAGCTGAACATGGTATTGCACATTTAGCTTTTAGCTTTCAGTGTTACTGACCTGAGATGTTTTTATTACATGAATTAAGGTGACTGAGGCTTTTTAACATAGACTTTTTAACATAGACTTTTCAGTGTCCCACATACCCACATACCGTTCACCATCCCCCACCCCCCTACTGTATGTTGATTTTTGACTTTGTTTGCCTACATGTAAATGGGTGGCATTTAGTACCTACCCCCCTCTGAGTGAATACCTGTTGTACCTGTCCGGGGCTAAGCCCATAGGACGATGCTCTGATGTCATCACCCTCGCACATTTGTCATATGTTTACAAAAAACGATGTTAACACTTTCTCGTTCTTAATATATGCTATATTTAGGGTCGATATGTGTTGAATTTACTTTAAAATAGCAGATCACTGTGACCGGATATAGTTTTTTCGGCTTAGTGAATGTGTGTCTCTTCCTCCGCGGCTCCTCCGTGCAGAGAGTTTGCAGCGGTGTGTGTCAGCAACGTGCAGTCAGGGGAGGCACGGATTGGCCGTCGGGAGAGTCGGGACAGATTCATAGGCCAGCTGTGAGTTCTGGAGAATCACAGAACGGCCGGACGCCAACGGCCCGGTTCGCTTCCGTCCGACAACACCCCCCCCCCCCCCCCCCCCCCATTGACAATTCACGAGCGTCTAACTCTCCCCCCCCCCCCCCCCCCCCCCCCGTCGCACCTTCTAACAGAGCCCCCCCACATATCAAATCCCAATTTAACCCCTGGCCTCTGGAGCTGAAATGAAAGAGTTTTAAAAATGTTTACGTTTTGGTACGTTTTTAGGGAAATGTTGTAATATTGCAACGTTGGCCTTAGGTGGGAGCAGAATTTCTGTATTTCTACTCACATTGTCTGAATAAATATATTGAACAACTAAGGGTTAATTTGCAGGATTGATTGCTTACTTAGCCCTATATCAGTATATAGCATGAATAATAATCACACATCACTCATATTTGTTATGAATAATCATTTATCATTTATTAAATAGTAAGTCGCTTTGGATAAAAGCGTCAGCTAAATGCAATTTATGAAAGCCTCACTCAGGATTTTTTTACCAAGTGTTTTTATTGCTCTTGGGGCATTAAAAACAAGATTTGAATTTTTGTTTTTTATATAATATCTGCATTTTCTCTTGTGAAAAACTAAGTCTTAGTTTGGCCATAGTTATTTAATATATAAAGACTATATATTATTGAATTACAAGATTAGATATACTTCATTTGATCTAAAATATTGATGTGTTCAAATGCTCTTCTAAACAAAACTGAAAGTCCATGAAAAGTTGTCTTCCTGTTTTTGTGAAGGAAGCGCCATCTCCTGGTTAAATCCTGAAATTGAAAATCTGGCAACGCCCTCTTGGAAAATAGTGGGAGGGCTTAACATTCCCAGACACTGATCTTTGGCAGGTCTTAGGCAGGTAACTGGCAGGTAGTAGGCAGGAAGCAGTAAGCTGGAGTCTGAAATAAGATGCTCCATCTGTACCTTGGATATACATTTACAATTATAAATAGATTATATCATTGTTACTACAATATATATATATATATATATATATATATATATATATATATATTATTCTTTTACGTTGTATGTCATATTTGATAAGACAAATATGACTGACTATCTTTTTACATCCACCATCCAAAATACATTTGTTATTAATTATCTTTTTTTACTCGTATTTAATGAAAACAGAAACAGAGCGCATTTCTGTTGAATGTAAATGAGATCAGTTGCATGTTAGCATTAAGGATACAGTTGTTTATGCACTCACATGTAGTTCCATTGCCAAAACACATGGATGGATTACTGAACGGCCTTAAGGCCAAAGAGCCCAAAGCATCAGTCTGTCCTTCACCTGCAAAATGTGCCGGGAGAGATGCAACATGACCGAAAAGAAGCACAAATTATCTACAAATAACTGCAAAGCAACTTCAAACTAATATAATAAGGACAAATGGGAAAAAGAACCACAAAGAGAGACAAAAAAGTCACAACATGAGCAGAAAGAAACACAACATATTGGCCAAAGATACACAAAAAGATTATAAGAGATACAAGATAACTGCAAACATTCACAAAACAACTACAAAGCAACAGAATATATAGAAGGGGAAAACAGCTTCCAAGAGACACACTGATCACAAAGTGTGTTTGTCTCGTTGCTCCTACGAAGGAAACATGGTGTAGTTTATTCCATTTTGTCTCATAATCCTCCCATGGCTGTTCAAACCACATAAACTGTATCTCAGTATCCCATAGTGTGCAGTTCTGTTGAAATATCTTGATTTAATTAACTGGAATTGTTGTTCATCGACAGGGAGAAACTGGCAGCAGAGGAACGAAGGGGACAGCGGGAAAGACAGGAGGGAGAGTGAGTTTTTTATTGTACATTTATTTAACCAAATTAAATCTCCTTGTGTTACGACATCAGTATCTGGACTTCTTTTCTCTAGGGGGTGAAAGGTAAAGACGGACCAGCAGGGCTTCCAGGAAGTGAAGGCTTAAAGGTATCTGTTATTTAAACAACATATGTTTTGATCAGATTACACGACAGTCAGTAAAATAAACGTCCTCATGTGTTTACTTGTTAACTCAGTATTGTTGACCTTTTTAAAGAACATTTTAAATATCCAGAATTGTCTACATTGTTGATATTGTTTATAGTGATTGATATACTATTTTTATTTTAATGTTGACACTGGTCCTGTAACAAAATCTATCTGTCTATCTGTCTAACATTTTAATGTGGATGTCCACCTTGTTTTTTTGTAACTAAGGGTAAAGGCAAGGCGGGACCGATGGGGAAACCAGGCCGCCCTGTAAGTGAATTATTTTGATCTATATTATTCTTATGAGTCTGGTTATGAAGTACAAATATAAATATATTTTTTTTTTTTCTGCTCAGGGTGAGACGGGCATGTCTGGACCTCGAGGATACGGAGGACCTGATGTAAGATTATTTCACTTATTCCTTTTTTAACAAAACCATCCAGTGCTTTATTACTGTTTTACAAGTGAAACATTATCCTAAAAAACACGTCTCCTTAAATGTGATTGACTTTTATACAATTTTTGAAAGATATAACATAACCCTACTTAACCCAAATATGTATATATTTTCATTTTCATTCATTTCTTATTTTAAAGTTACTTAACTATATATATAAAAAATGTGTATCTTTAATTGTATTCTTCTCTAATCTGTGTGAATCTGTGCTGTCCTGTTTTCATTCTTACCCTGTTGCTGTTTGAACTACTGAATACAGGTCCATCTTATCTTATCTTAACATTTTCAGAAGGTTTTCATCTTTATTCCTGAATATATATATCTTTTTTTTCTCCAGGGTGTCCAGGGTAACATTGGACCATGGGGGGAGGTTGGACCCCGTGGATCCTCTGGTGATCGGGGGCCACGAGCTCCAGTTGGCCTGCCTGGAGTTACCGGTTACCCAGTACGTTCAGTTACTTACTATACTTACTTTTTATACTGGAAGTCAATGGTTTTCTGAATGTGTTTTTGGTTGTTATCCTGAAATAAGGTCTGTGGTTAACACAAGCTGAAGAGATTTTAATTCTACGACATAAAATAGGTCAGTAAATACCCCACTGGTGCTAACAAGTGTCTAAAAGAGACGACTAAACGCCATCACGCCCAGCATTAGCCGCCTTTAGCTTAGCGGTGGTGACGTGAAGTCATGTGACCGTGCTGTAGTTCTTTTATAGCCCAACATTAGCCTCCTTTAGCTTAGCGATGATGACATGAAGTCATGTGACCGTGCTGTAGTTCCTTTATAGCCCAACGTTAGCCTCCTTTAGCTTAGCGGTGGTGACTTGAAGTCCTGTGACCGTGCTGTAGTTCCTTTATAGCCCAACATTAGCCACCTTTAGCTTAGCGGTGGTGACGTGAAGTCACTGTAACTGTTTCTTCCCTTTCTCAACATTTAGGGTAAAGATGGGCCTCAGGGACGAGCTGGATCTTTAGGTGTCAAAGGAAACAAGGTAAAGCTTTTCTTACTCAGCCTCTCCTAACATGCTGTAAACAATAGTAACCAGGGTTGGGAGGGTGACTTAAATTGAGTTAAAATAACTAGTTCTAAAATGTAACTTTCGATCAAAAACACTTAATGAAATGATTAATCTCTCTCTTGTTTCTGTCACTGTTTCAGGGATCTGAAGGAGTTTTGGGGACGGAGGGAGTTGCTGGTCTCGATGGTGAGGAGGTAGATTGATGAAACTGTGTTTGTTACAGATTTGATTTCATTTAACTGAACTTAAAAGCACTCAAACATCTTAATTATCTAAAAACACAGGATGTAAGGCCTTTCCTTTCTGGTAATAACGTGCATTAGTAACCAGGTGTTTTTCTATTGTGTTCAGGGTCCAATGGGAATAAAGGGACCTGTGGGGCCTTCTGGACTAAAAGGCTTTTCTGTGAGTAAATGGGTTGTTTTTTACTTTCAAAACAACCTCAGAAATGTGAAAATGATGCATGCTATTACACAGAAAAATAAAACAATTCAGCCCTTTATATTCTGTCCTTTCAGCAGCGACACCTGTGTTTTAATTTCTAACGAGAAGGTCAGAGAAGCTTCAGGTGTTTCAGGATTTAATAAAATATGTCACACAGAGATTAACATATTTTAATCTCTGTATGTAGAAGGAATATTACTTTAGATAACTACAATAACTGGATTTAAACTCAGTTTGTTCTCCACATTTGGACTTTTTATTATATTTTTGATGGTAGAAACAGAGCGTTAAATACTGCTGAGGGGTTTCCTTTCCTTCTGTTGTCCACATGCTGGTATTTAGACAGTCATTATGGGATGCATTGCATTACATTAATGCACACAATGTAAACAATTATCTTGTTTTTCATTCCTACGATTTCAATCATATTCAATGTAAATACTGCTATATTTTCTTAAACGTTGCTTTATTTCAGGGGGATAAGGGAAACACTGGACCTCCTGGACAGAAAGGGCCAAAGGGAGATGAAGGTGAAAGAGGCAACCGAGGGCCACAGCGAGGAAAAGGGCCCCCAGGGAAACAGGTGGAGAATGACTTATTATTATTTTTTAATTGTGAACTCCAGTTAGGGTTGTTGTGGCAGCCATTTCGGCCAAATTCCAAACCACACCCTACCCACTCCCCTTCAGTGATGGAGTGAACTCCGTCTGTAGTCTCACTCGCAGCTGAACTCCCCTCGCTCTGGCAGAAACAGGAAATGCCGTAACTTTTCGTAACAACGGTTTCAAAGCAGCATCTCTGTATACAAAATAATATTCAAAATAAAATAAAAATCTTTAATGGTGTTTCTTTTTTTTAAAACAGCTGCGTGGTTTTTGCAACAGTCCCTGCAAATATACACAACTTTATAATAAAATGCACACATGTACCGTTTTCTAGACTAAACATGGGGATGTGTAATCCCACTGGGTTCTGTTCAGAGCAGTTTGCAGGCTGGTAGGAGTGGCCTTTTGCAATTGTAATGGCATGAATATTGGCCCTGTGAAGACCTCAGAGTGTTCTAAAGAATTCAGACTTACACATTATACATTTCTTTAAAACATGTTATTCATTCTTCATCTGCCAATCAGCTTGTTTCTGCCTCAGTGTGAGTAGGACCAAGATTCCTCTCAACGAAAACACACCTGTTTGCAGCAGAAAGTCCCGGATGGCAGCGAAAGCAATTCCCCAGTACACTATCCCAGTATCTCACCTTAACAAAATTGCTCTAATATATCTAAAAATATCTACCCCAAATTGCCATTAAATTCTATTTAAGTATAATTTTTTACCTCCTTACGTCCTGACCATAACCCCCAAATATTCATTACATTTTAAAGAATTTGAACTCTTTAAATCCAGTTGGTTTACATAATGCCAGTGTTTTTATGATTAAAAATAAAACGATTAAACTAATTATTTTCTGTATGCTAGAGGGATTTCTTTACACAGTGTGTCATATGTCGATGAGAGGGAACAACTCTCATTAAATGCATTTATTTGTTATGCAGGAAACCAGGAAACTAGCCTGTATTTCTTCAAAAGGTCAAACGAAAAATGACTATCTGGTTGGAAATAATACCAGTATAATCTGGAAGCCAGTAAGTGTGGTTTTAATGGGGAAGTTTTTGACCTTAAAGGTAGGGTACGTAAGTTTGAGAAACCGGCTCGAGATACACTTTTTGTTATATTCCATGGAATGCTCTTAACATCCCGATAGCAATGAATATCTTAAGTGCTTTGACAAAAAATCCATAAAGAAATGTCATCTGTGGAAGCCGTAGTACTGTAAAAAGCATGACCAATCATCTGAGCCGGCCCGGCTAAAATAACTGGATGGCCTACCTGCCTGTCAGCCTTCCATCTGTGCACAAACTTATCTCGTGCCCTCATTGGTCATGTGCGCGTTCGTGTGTGTTGGAGGAGGGGCTCTGTAAGGAAGTGGCAGATTTTCTCCGGTTGTGTATTTTCAAATTCTAGCGCACTCGAGCTGGTTTCTCCAAAATTACCTACCCCACCTTTAAGTGGAGAAAAATTGCCAATTCAAATTGCCATCAAATAATATTTAAGTATTATTTTTGACCTCCTTACCAGAACCACCAAATATTCATTCAATTTTAAAGAATTTGAACCTCAGTTAAATGAATGCACCAGCTCTTACAATGGTCTGGCTTTCTGCATGTTTCTTCTACTTCAGCATTTGTATCTTTATGGTTAATTGCACTTATTGGAAGTGGATAAAAGTGTCAGCTAAATGTAATTGAATTGAAGCCATAAAAACTGTCACCCTCTTTTTCAGGGATCTCTGGGAATACTTGGGGTCAGTGGAAGAGCCGGAGTGTCGGGGCTGAAGGTCAGAAACTAAGAAATGTTGGATTAATCAGAGAAACTAAAGTCTGCCAGGTTTGGTTTGTAGCTTCTGAAATGTGTGATGATGTGTCTCTCAGGGTGAGCTCGGGACCAGAGGTTCTTCAGGGAGACCCGGACAGTTCGGACCGGGAGGAAACACGGGGTCATCGGGGGTCAAAGGCCAGAAGGGGCTCCGGGGACACAATGTTAGTAATACCGTTTCATTATTTCAGTGTCAATGAGATGCAAAACAGAGGTGGGAAGTAGTGGAGTACAAATACTTTGTTACTGTACTTAAGTACATGTTTCTGGTATCAGTACTTTACTCCACTACTTATTTTTCTGACGACTTTTTACTTTTACTTCTTACATTTTGAACCCAAATACCTGTACTTTCTACTTCTTACATTTTGAACACAAATACCTGTACTTTCTACTTCTTACATGTTGAACACAAATACCTGTACTTTCTACTTCTTACATGTTGAACACAAATACCTGTACTTTCTACTTCTTACATGTTGAACACAAATACCTGTACTTTCTACTTCTTACATTTTGAACACAAATACCTGTACTTTCTACTTCTTACATGTTGAACACAAATACCTGTACTTTCTACTTCTTACATGTTGAACACAAATACCTGTACTTTCTACTTCTTACATGTTGAACCCAAATACCTGTACTTTCTACTTCTTACATGTTGAACACAAATACCTGTACTTTCTACTTCTTACATGTTGAACACAAATACCTGTACTTTCTACTTCTTACATGTTGAACACAAATACCTGTACTTTCTACTTCTTACATTTTCCAAACAGGCTGGTTACTTTAGTTTGAATGTGTTATTACATGGCTTAGTTGAATACTCGATTCTGACAGACATAGACATCAAACGGCGACACATATTCAGTTGCCAGTGACTGTGGCATTCGGGCAGGGATATCTAGATACTTCCCAAGGTTTGACAAAATGAATTGTGCTACTTTTAAAGCAAGCAACGATGTTTTCAAATCTGTAATCAAAAAGCAAAACGCTATCTAAGCACTTCCTGCCGTTGCTACGTTGTTCAAACAGTATCAACGGACTATTTTTCTTAGCGGATGCATGTCATTTTAAATCAATACAACCATTTTTTAAAACAATAATACTCTTTTTTAAATCAATAAAAACATTTTCTATATCTATAAAAGCATTTCAATTAATATTGGGAGTCATGTCGTTACTTTGTTGAGAATGTGGCCGTGTAATAAGCGGGATAATGTGCTTCGCGTCGGGTTCCCTGATCCGCCTGTCGGGTGTTCTTTTACCCATAATGACCGCCTCGCTGCACATTATCCCTTACATATTATCTATCCATCTAATGTTTGGAGAAAGCGTGTCTTTTCTCAGTTACAAATGACATGTGGTTACTAAAAGGTTTTTTCTATATTTAGTGATTCAGATAATGTCTTTGAAGAGATAGACCTGCTCAAATGTGTACACATGTAGACCTGGCATGATTACCTAACTAATATCTATTTTTCAACTTTTTTCATAATCCATTAAGCGTTGAATGGCAAATAAATAGCAGAAAATGCTGTTTTCAGCCTTTTAATTATGAAGATTTCCCTATTTGATCTGTTTCATAATTATATTAAAGTGAATATCTTTGGGAGTTGGACTGACAGACAAGACTTAGACAACTTGGGACTTTTCTTGACATTTTATAAACCATTAATGAATCTATAAAATAAGTGTAAGTTAACATCTTGCTGTTTCAATAATGTATTTTTACACCTTCTCATTGCAGGGTCCACCTGGCAGATTAGGCCCCCCTGGAAGAATTGGACCATCGACACCAGTACGTTTTAATAGACTTAATGTGGAATTAGCATATATATCACAACATTTAAGATAGAAACTTTGCACGCATTATAAAATGAATGTTGTTTGATATGATATGAAGTTTTAACCTATAGTTACATCCAACCAGTTCATGTGCATGCTCCGTTATGAAAGCTTCTACCACTGGATGGCAGCGAAAGCAAGACGAAGCTGCTCTAATATATCTAAAAACATCTACCCCAAAGTGCTATGAAATTATATTTAAGTATTCTTTTTTACTTCCTTACGTCCTGACCATAAGCCCCAAATATTCATTTAATTTTAAATAATTTTAACCCCAGTTAAACCCAGTTGTTTTACATGCAAGTGTTGTTATGATTAAAAAACACAATTAAAACGTATTATTTTCTGTATGTTAGAGGGATCTTTTTACACAGAGTGTGATATGTCAATGGTAGGGAACAACACTCATTAAATGCATGTATTTTTCGTGCAGGAAACCAGCAAAACAGCCTGTATTCCTACACACTTAGTGTAAATAATATCCTGCTATACATTGTGTTAACTGAACATCGGCCCTTCAATAGTGTTTTATTTGTCGGAGTTTTATAGATTTTTTATCTTCACGGTCAACTTGTATATTTTCTACTTTTTAATGCTGTTTTATTTCTATTTTGAGATGTTTTAAATGTTATCATTTGCTCCATGGGCAACCACATAATGGTTCTATGTGGTTGGAAATAATAAATGTATCATTAGGAAACTAGTAATTGTGGTTTTAATGGGGACATTTTTGACCTTAAGTGTCTTAGTATCTATATTCAGCCGGATCTCCCTCCCACCTGACATTCGGAATATTGAGGCCCAATTCCAAACCACGCCCTACACCCTACCCCTCCGTTTGCACGTTCGTGCGGAGGGTCCGCCACATTAAGTGCTGTTCCAAACCAACGAGTGTGGAGGGGAGTGGGTTATCAAGCCCTCAAACAGCGAGTCTGCATCACCTAACCTAACCCTGCTGCACTACCTGACCAGTCTCAACGCTGTGTGTGTCCGTCAGGAAACACGCTGTGTGTGTCCGTCAGGAAACACGCTGTGTGTGTCCGTCAGGAAACACGCTGTTTACAAACAGTTCCAGCAAACATCCACTGATAAATTGCGATGTGAACAACCTCATGATAACCTCATATTTTGTTTTACTTAGGATCATACCTGTGTTTAGTCATACCATTTTATTATAAAGTTGTGTATATTTACAGACTGTTGTTGTATCATCATTATTCTTATTATAACAGCTGATTTTAAACTTCCAAATTAAAATACCTAATTAACAAAGCCTAAAGGAATGAATTAAAAACGAAATTACAGATTGTGCATGAAACAGCTTTTCATTTAGACAAAACAAACACAACTTCAAAACCTGATCATGTTTTATATTTGTATTAAAACAATAATTTGACTAATTTCATGTGTCTTTCAGGGTTTGCCCGGCAACAGAGGAGCTGATGGAAAGAGTGGAAACCCTGGAGCAAAGGTTTAATACATTATTTAGTAACCCTAACAAAGTGAAATGTCTCAATCGATGTGAAGGAGTTCACTTTTATACACATTATGTTTCTCTGTTGTGTGTTTCAGGGCGGTCACGGTGAGACGGGGAGACTCGGTGTTCACGGCTTCAGAGGAGAAATGGTGGGTGTTTAATCTGATTAAGTGTATTTAATGAAGTGTATAAAGATGTGACCAAAGTGACGCCATGTCTACTTCTGTCCTCCTCAGGGCGTTAGAGGTCATAAAGGGGCAAAAGGAGAGCCTGGTACGAGAGGAAAAATGGTAAAATATATATATATTAACTCACAGCATTTGTAATGTAATCATTCAGTGTTATTATTATTATTTTTTGAATACTCTTTTTATTGTCATTTTTGTAAACATTCAGACATAACATACATACAACATACACCCGCATACGACGTACTCAAATGTGTGCAGAATAGTTACTGCGCATCTCTCCATGGGTGACAATAATCTCACTTTAATCAATTAAAGTGTGTGTGTGTGTGTGTGTGTGTGTGTGTGTGTGTGTGTGTGTGTGTGTGTGTGTGTGTGTGTGTGTGTGTGTGTGTGTGTGTGTGTGTGTGTGTGTGTGTGTGTGTGTGTGTGTGTGTGTGTGTGTGTTTTAGGGGACGTTGGGGAAGAGGGGGTTTGTTGGCTCTGCAGGAGCTAAAGGGTCATCTGGAGCTGCTGGTCCTCCAGGTGGGCCGGGGTCTGAAGGAGTTCAGGGGATAAAGGTGAGGGGAAATAGTTATATGGTTTTATTGAAAATAAATAATCTAATAAATAACATTTGTATATAATGGGGATAATGTGTTTATTAGGGGAAAAGAGCCCAATCTGGAAGGAAAGGAAACAGAGGAGCTGCCGGGAAAAAAGTGAGTAAAGTTTTTAATGAGTTGCTTTAATGATTATTATCATTTTCTAATTATTAATATATTTATTTACGAATTTTAAGATTTTCCGAAAAAAACAGATTTCCAGAAAAAGTCAGAATTCAGACATTTTGATAAAAAAAGTCAGAATTCTGAGATTTTTTTTCAAAGTCAGAATGTTTAGTTTTTCAGAAAAAAGTCAGAATTCTGTGATTTTCAAAAAAAAGTCCGCATTTTAAGATTTTAAGAAAACAAAAGGCATGTTTCCAAAACTGAGTGCATGTATGGACAAAGCAAGTTACAAATAAAAACGAAAATGATCCTGAAAGTGTTTTTTATTCCATTTAAAAAACATTAATATCACTATGACAACCCTGATCACTAATGTCTGATATATAAATGTTTAATTAAAGTCTGTATTAAGTGTCTTAACAGAGGCAATAATGCATGTAATGAATTCTGTTCTTCAGGGGGATGAAGGTCCACGAGGAAGACCAGGTTCTGCTGGAGCGCCTGGAAAAGCCGCAAGTATCCCTTTTGAGAAATAAAATAAACACATCCCTAAATCTATTGATTACCTGAAGAAATCTGCTCATTTCAACGGACACATGAACAACCGTGACACGTTGAAAACCCAAAACACATTCCTTACCCGTAAACAAACCAAAAAGTTCATTTATCTTTAAGTTTATTCAACAGGATTGCTGATAGATTGCACTTTTATCCAGTTATTTCAAATCCTGTTCATCAGTGTGTACAAGAGGGGCAAAAAGTGTCATTTAAAAAAGAATTGTATCTGTCAGCTTCTTTTGTATGACCAGCCAAATTAAAACATTAATTTATCTATTAAGGCTTTTTTGTTTGTGTTTAAAATATTTGTACACTGTACAAACATTCATTGTTTTGTTTACTAGAAGAAATACAGTAAGCCATGTAAAAAATAATGTTTCTTTTTATGATTGAGACTTATTACTAATAAATCTGAACCTACTAGAAAAAAGTCAGAATTTAGAGATTTTCAGAAGAAAATCAGGATTCTGCAATTTTGAGAAAAAAGTTAGGATTCTGATATTTTTAGAGTCAGGATTTTAAGATTTTCAGAAAAAAGTATGATTTTCAGAAAAAAGTATGATTTTCAGAAAAAAGTCAGAATCGAGATTTTCTGAAAAAGTATGATTTTTTTCATTTTCAAATTCATCATTTTACTTTTGATTTTCAAAAAAAGGCTGGATTTTAAGATTTTCAGAAAAAAGTATGATTTTCAGAAAAAAGTCAGAATTCTGAGATTTTCAGAAAAAAGTCAGAATTCTGAGATTTTCAGAAAAAAGTCAGAATTCTGAGATTTTCAGAAAAAAGTCAGAATTCTGAGATTTTCAGAAAAAGGCTGGATTTTAAGATTTTCAGAAAACATAAGGCGAGCTTTTATTAAATGAAAAGCTGGTACAACGTAAACAAATTGCAGGAGCAGGCGCAGAGGAACAAAAGGAAAAATAACAAACAAAACAAGAACAAACCGGGAACATTTTCAGAAAAAAGTCAGAATTTTAAGATTTTCTGAAAAAAACAGATTTTACTTCAGGATTCAGAACCAAACCACAGGAAAAACAACGAACTCACAGAGAACACAAGGGAAAGCAAGGTTGCAGTCGAACAGTCAGTTTAGCTTAGGAACCTTCCTAACGGAGTGAAATGACCCGGAAGTCCCTCAGTGGCAGCCATGATAAGTGCCGTTCCAATTCTCTAGACTCTAGATGATAGGAAAGGAGCTTTGAAACTTCCTTTATAACCTCCTTTAGCTTAGGAACCACTGGAGCTCCCTTTACGAAAGGAGAGGAGAAAATGCTGCCCCACAATGCCTTGCGGCCTCAACATTTACCGTCACACAACATTTACCGTCACACAACATTTACCGTCACACAACATTCGGCCGTTCACGGAAACAACTGATCGTGACCGAGAAATGATATCATGAAAGTTACGGTGCTTATTAAGCATTTTACAAATGAAAACACTGAGACAGGAAGTAAATATTGAAATGAGACAGGGGGTGAACGACTTTCAAGGTAAAACAGGAACCCGACAGAATGTGACAATCCCAAATGAAACAGAAAATAAACAGATCGTGACATGGAGTTGTATTTAAGCTCATAAAAAACTGAGAGTGAGGAATGTCTTGACGATTGTTTCCTCGTCTCTTGATCTTGTTTTCAGGGCCTCAGTGGTCTGGATGGGTTACTCGGGGTTGAAGGAAATCCTGGAGATCCAGTAGGTTAAAACAGTCCTTACTATAATAAATGTAGTCGTTGTATTGTTAATCTTTTTACTAAATGATGTTCTGTTCTTCCCCAAAGGGTGATGTAGGTTTCAGAGGAGCTCCTGCAACACCTGGCAGCCCTGGGAAAATGGTAAGCTCCAAAACACACATGGATGACGTGCAAACATTCACCATAAAACCGTATTTAGTGACATTAAATTCATCTCAAATGTGTTTAATGTTGTAGGGAAAACCTGGATCTCCTGGGGTCAGAGGAAGCAGTGGAGCACCAGGGTTTAAGGTACAACATTATTGTCTTTATAATCATTTTGTTATAATGAATTGAAATAGTCAAAATGATATGTTCATTGTGGACATGTGTATAGTTTGATGTACCCCTGCTGTGCAATAACACTGCCTATAAACATCTGTGGCAAGTAACTAAGTACTTATTTGAATGTATGTGATTGTCCCTTAATCTACAGTAATGTGTTAGATAGATAGATGGATAGATAGATAGATAGATAGATAGGTACTTTATTGATCCCTGCAGGTCTCCCTTGAAAAAGAGATCTATGATCTCAATAGGCGCGTTCACACCAAGTACTTTGCCGTATTTAGTGCCGGCACTCAGTGCCCCGGCACTTATTACCCCAGGGCAGATTGAGGGAAGATTACGCAAATGAGCCGCTGACGTCACTTCGTCTTCTTCTGCTTTGGGTTTACTGGCAGGCCGCAAACAACTTCACGGTGTATACTGCCACCCGGAGTCCCCGGCCGGAAGTCCCCGGAGTTGGGGACTGGCTTCAGTAGAAGCTGCTAGGACTCCCAGCAGCTTCTACTGAAGCCTTCCGAGTAAATCGCCAGAACGCCGATACCTCCTCATCTCCACCGCTCCGATGTTTTATTTTGTGTTGCCATAAGTTAGTCTCTCTGCGTTTGTGCACTGGGCGAATGCTAATGCTAATAATGCTAATGCCAGGATAATAAAATGGCGGCTCTACAAAACATTTCAGAGTTGTACGGGGCGTGGTTTGCAATTCGCCCAGAACAATCAGAACTGGGGCACTTTTTTCCCCCAGGAAAGTACCATCTCTCAGCAGGCACTAAAAATGGGAGTAAAAGTTCCCGAGATTAAGTGCTCTTTTTGGTGTGAACGCGACATAAGGGGTACTAACGGAACTAAACGCGAAAAGTACGGTGAAAAGTACTCCGGTGTGAACGCGGCTATTGGGACCAATCTGGTTAAATAAAGGTTTGAAATGAAATGAAATGAATCCCAATTTGGGAAATGTTTGCGTTGCAGAAATAAACAGTCCAAAATATTTCTGAAATAGAAATGAAATAGCATTACAAAGTTACAAAAAATATATATATACATGTGGAAATGCAATTTTCTAGTAACAAATATAATGCAGGCTATTATTTTCATTTATTGAAATATCCTACTGATGTCCTGTTCTGTGTTTCAGGGTAAATCTGGATTCAAAGGGAAACAAGGACCACCTGGACCAATGGGGCCAAAGGTATAGAAAACAGAATAATAATTAAAAAACAGCCATAAAATACTTAACATAACATCTGTAAACATCTGTATGATCTGCACAGGGTCTTCCAGGACTGAGAGGAGAGAAGGGAGAGTCTTCAATCTCTGGTCTGAAGGTAAAGTCCAACACTAATGCCACTTTCCCACCAAAGCGCTTACAGGGCCAGTTCGGAGCTGGTGCCCGATTACGCACCAGCTCTTCCTGTTTCCACCGCAGAGGGGCCAGTTCTTTGCCCCGAAAACGGGTTCTTAGCTGGCCCCACTCAACTGCCCTTCCAGAAACCAAGAACCAAATATGTCACGCTTACTTAAACGCTGATGTCAGGACGCAGCACCAGTTGGGCTCTGGGCGGTGGAAACACAACTGGGGCTAAAAAGAAGAACCTGTTCAGAACCAGAAAAGCACGGAGCTAGAACTGGAACTGGTTTACCTTTTAAGAAATGATCTTAATCCAAACAATCCTGATCACAATTTTCTGGTATATAAATGTTTAATTAAAATCTGTATTAAGTTGCAGAGTCTTAACCGGGGCAATAATGCATCTAATTTCAGTTCGGAGCTAGTGTCCGATTAAGCACCGGTTCTTCCTGTTTCCAAAGCAGTGGGGCAAGTTCTTGAACCCGAAAACCAGTTCTTAGCTGCTCGTCCAGAAACTAAGAACCAAATATGTCACGCTAACTTTAACGGTGATGTGATGACGAAGCACCAGTCGGTCTCTTGGCGGTGAAAACACACTGGGGATAAAAATAAGAACCGCTTCAGAACCAGAAGAAACGGAGCTAGAACTGGAACTGGTTTGGTGGGTAAGGGCTATAAGTGCACCACATTACGGGGTTTATTGGGAAAAATAAGTTTTATTTAACATCAAGATGGTTTATTTGTATTTATTTCCAATGATATACTTGACTCTTTGTTGTAAGAATATACTAATTGGACTGAATTTTACGATAAGCTCTGATCGGCTTGCAAAAATCAGACAAAACTACACTGTTGATCATTTTTTGCCCATTATCAACTTTATTTGCAGGGTCTCCCAGGTGAAATGGGAATATTTGGACCAGTCGGGCCATCTGGGCTAAAGGTTGGTTGAAATATTTGAAGATTAGAATAATTGACATTCCAAAAAATGCATAATTTCACCTGCTCACCACATTATACCTTCCAGGGGAATCCTGGTCTGCAGGGGCTGAAGGGTCGAATAGGCCATAAAGGAAAGCAGGTGAGTTGTTTTTACTTCTCTTTTCACAGTTTTTAGCAGTAATTTAATAATGAACGTACTTATTTTCACAGGGGAGAAGCCGGTCCTCGGGGTCCACACGGGCGTAAAGGCATCCTCGGACTCGCTGTGCGTTGCTTTGATATTCTGCTATTTGATAAAGTTATGAAACACTTCACTAAAGTAATTTCTGTTTTGTTTGTGTTACAGGGCCAGCTTGGGAAGAAGGTGAGACTTTTTAATGCCTCCATGCAAGCGTGATTTTGGGAAACGCACTGATTAACAAGACCTACAAAGTCATTTGGGTAAAAAAGTCAGAATTCTGATATTTTCAGAAAATAGTCAGAATTTAGAGCATTTCGGAAAAACGTCAGAATTATAGGAAAAAGTCCTAATTTGAGATTTGCAGAAAAAAATGAGATTTTTTGAAAAATTTCAGAATTTTTAGATTTTCAAGAAAAATTTCAGAATCTTCAAGAAAAATTTCAGAATTTTCAAGAAAAATTTCAGAATTTTGAGATTTTCAAGAAAAATTTCAGAATTTTGAGATTTTCAGCCAAAAATCTGAATTCAGATTTTTTGAGAAAGAAAGTCAGAATTGAGAAAAAAGTCAGAAAAAGTCAGCATTTTAAAAAAAGTCAGAATTTTGAGATTTCCATAAACAAATCTGAATTTTAGGAAAAAGTATTAAAAAAAATATATATATATAAACATCATATAAACAGCAAACTGACAATACTGTAATTTATGTTTTATGACTATGAAGGTTTAAGTATCGTCTTTGACTTCTTTGATCTCGTGTCCTGCATCCTGATTCCACAGTTTTCAAATGTTCAACAAAGAATTTTTTTTTAAAGCTCATTCAGTCAGCCTGAAATTATTCCAGTCTTTCATTATTTGCGGTTACCATGTGTGTGTGAATAGTGAGATTTGTTGAAATGCATTAGTCGTATCAAGACAGAGTCTGACTGTGTTTACAGGGAATGAAAGGAGTCAAAGGAGGGAGAGGACCAAAGGGAGTGAGAGGCAAGCCAGGACCTCCAGTAAGACTTTCACTCATCTAATCATCAGTTTAAAAAAAAGAAAGTTAACTGTAACATACTGTGAAGTTTGAAGAGGCATTTAAATTGTAATGCAGTGAAAAACAGCTTTATTGCCATGAGTTTCTCCCCCTTTTCCTCACAGGGGAAGCCAGGAGCACCAGGCCTCAAACGCAGGCCTTCACAAAGACGGGGTTCAAAGCCTGAGCTCAGACCGGGTCGTCAGAGACCCAAAACAGCACGCATTAAAAGACTAGAGAACGTGCCGCGGTTCAGACTAACACCGGCCCTCTTGAAGGTACAACAGACTGTGGGTAAAGTTTCCCTCCTGGACGCAATGTGAATATTCGCATCGCTCTAATCGCTAAGTTTCACCGCGGCTGTCAGCTGTGTTTACTCTCATCATTCAAACAAGACGCGCTAGACCAGGAGGCGGGGCTTATCTCCATGTAAATACTATGGTAGATACCAACTACAACAAAATGAACACATGTTACCGTGATGTAATTGTAATACACGTTTCAAAATGATGCCAGAATGACAACATACTGACACTGGTTTGTAAGAACCAATTAATGCTTTGACAAGCCTGCAGAAAAGACAGCAGGAGAAACATGTGTGTTTTCTGAATGGAGATTGGATCGATCAGGCTAAGCTAACGTTGTATCTGCTCCGTCCACACTCACAACAACATCCCACAGACACAGATAAAACATTGACTGTATCCGCCATGCCACAGACAGTTTGTGGTTTTGACTTTACATGTAATGTGAACGCACCATAAGTGTTCCTTCACATCTTCCCTTGACCCCATTAACCCCAGGGGTCCAGCCTGCTGTCCAGGAGATGGTCTGAGGAGGAAGAGGAGGAGGAAGAGGAGGAGGATTCGTTCAGCTGGCCTCAGGGAACCAAAGAGGATCCTGCCACCTCCTGCTACGAGCTGGGACTCATACACCCTCACCTGAGCGATGGTGAGCCTCTGAATACACTTCACTGTTTACTGAATGATTCTGAATGATGGTGCACTAAAGTGGATCATCTCTCAGGTTTCTTTTACATGGACCCAAACCAAGGCTGTCCGCACGACTCGGTGAGGGTTTTCTGTAACTTCACAGCAGGAGGAGCGACCTGCATCGAGCCTCTACCCTCACAGGTACACTCACTTACTCCTACATTGATATGTATCATTATTATAACTTGTAGTGGCGATTTTGTCCCTAAACTACAAATATCAAATTAAAAAAACTACACGAAATCAAACTGCAGCTAAGGCACCAGGTAGCCAATTGTAATTGTTAACCTCCTTTCTTTAGATCAAATTAAGTTGGAAATCAAAGAAGAAGAATGCACCTGTCCAATGGCTCAGTCAGCAGCACGCTGGGAACAAGGTAACACATTTTTAATTGATAGAAAAACTTTTGATGAATCTGAAAACTGACTCCTGTGTGTCTCTACAGTTTGAGTACTCCGGCCTGGATGTGGTCCAGCTGAGGTTCCTGCGGCTGCACAGCCTCTCGTCCTCACAGCTCCTGACGCTCCGCTGCTCAGAGAACAGCTCCAGATCTGCAGGAAACACATCGTCAATTGATCACCTGCTGGGAGACACATTGTCAGCTGATCACCTGCTGGGAGACACATTGTCAGCTGATCACCTGGTGGGAGACACATCGTCAGCTGATCACATGCTGGGAGACACATCGTCAGCTGATCACCTGGTGGGAGACACATCGTCAGCTGATCACCTGCTGGGAGACAAATCGTCAGCTGATCACCTGGTGGGAGACACATCGTCAGCTGATCACATACTTCACCTGCTGGGAGACTCCGGCACAGAAATCCCTTCCCACTTCACCAGCGTGTCCAGGAGAGGCTGTGAGGTCAGTATCCTGTTCACTGTTTAGTACATTATAATATATATTTTCAAGTTCTTTAAAGCTCACCTATTATGCAAAATCCACTTGTTCATGTTCACCAGCAACCAAGGTAACCCCCCCCCCCCCCCCCCCCCCCCCCCCCCCCCTTATCACCTGAATCTCCTCCTAGAGCACCATTGAGTTATTTTTAACCAAATCTCTCTCAGAGGGGCGTGGGGAGGGGCTCCTTATTTTCATCTAAAGTAACAGACAGAGAATCAGCACTTTTGAAACAGGGCTGAAACAGAGGGGATTATGGGTAATGCTGCAATGATCTGTTTGGTGTTTCAGCCAATCAGAGACAGGTTCTGGATATATCTGAGACCTGTAATATATTGATGAGAAAGAGCATAATAGGGGACCTTTAACTTCCCATCTCCTTCTCTCCTGTCTGATCCTACGTCAGGTGGAGGTGTCTGTGACGGTGCGGGGGGGAACGGAGCTGCATCGAGGTGACATGCAGCTACTTCCTGTCAGAGACATGGGGGTGGAGCCTACGGTGTGTTCTCCAACCGTCTCTGAAATCACCGCTGTGCTGGGACCCCTCTGCTTCTTGTGACCTGAGAGGTGTGTGTGTGTGTGTGTGTGTGTGTGTGTGTGTGTGTGTGTGTGTGTGTGTGTGTGTGTGTGTGTGTGTGTGTGTGTGTGTGTGTGTGTGTGTGTGTGTGTGTGTGTGTGTGTGTGTGTGTGTGTGTGTGTGATGGAATACTGTAAATATCTCATTTATATGGAAAGCAGGGACATATGGTCTAGATATTTTCTCACGGCTGTTTTTGTGTATATTTATTGAATCTGAAGGAATGGAGAATTATCTTCACTGTTATTAAATATGTGTTAATGAGTAATTGTATTACTTTAAACAGACTTGACGTAGAGTATTTATATCATAACTAGTGTACTCAGTGTCTCATATGTCTCACAGGGGGAGGATGTGCAGCACTTTTTAAAATAAAAACATGACTTTGAACATGTGGAATAAAATCAAACCGTGTGCATCTGTTTTATTTTTCACTCAGATTTAAGGTAATAATATTGTTGATATTTGTTGTGATTGTTAAGCTGTAGCAATATTTGTAATCTTTGTAAACTTGTAAACTATTCTTATAACTTAACATTTTCAGTTATTTTTATTGTGTTAATGCAAATGGAAAACATTCAAGCAGTATCTTTCTGCATTGTAGAAGTCTGAACTCAGCTGCTCATATTTTTAGTCATTAAAAAAACGTTTAGCCAAATGAAGACCCCATTGATACCAACTGTAAATGTATTATCTCTGCCCGGGTGTGGTAGTTGGGTATTTGTTGTTGTCAGTCCCCTCAGGAGTGAAAGCTTCATGCTGCCTCCGTCCATATAGTCAGGTGATTCATCTCAAACTAGATGCATTCAAAACATGTGATAATAACATTCAGATCAGAATCAGAATCCCTTTATTAGTCCCACAGAGGGGACATGTACATTGTTACAGCAGAAAAGAGCCGGAGACAGATTAATGTTAACTAAAGTATGCATAAACATTTATTTAAAAAAAGAAATTATAATAAAATAAAAAGTCACGCAGCCTGTCAGACACTGAAAAACGCCATCATGTGCTTCTTGGTGTTGAATATCTTTCTACTCCATGGAAATGTTACTCAATGAAGCTCAGCGCAAGTTCCTTCAGGAAGACTGGGTATATATACATTCACTCCGCAGCTGCTTATAATCAGCTCATCACGGGCGTTCTCTTTAACCTATTACATTTCACCTCATTCTCCAGCAGCCAATCACCGTGCTGCAGCCAAACTTTAAAATGGTTCTCCTCTCTCCTGCAGTCAGCTGTGATTTCAGGTGTTCATGCTGCCGCCCGCCTCCTCTTCATCCACCTCCCCCCCATCCACCTCCTCTTCATCCACCTCCCCCCCCATCCGCCTCCTCCCCATCCGCCTCCTCCCCATCCACCTCCTCCCCATCCACCTCCTCCCCATCCACCTCCTCCTCATCCACCTCCCCCCCCATCCGCCTCCTCCCCATCCACCTCCTCCCCATCCACCTCCTCCCCATCCGCCTCCTCCCCATCCACCTCCTCCCCATCCACCTCCTCCCCATCCACCTCCTTTCATCACATCCAGTGCCAGGAGAGCTAATCCAAAGACCTCATCACACCTCCTCTTCATCCCATCTCCTCATCAAATCCAGATCTTCATCATCATCACCAGTGTCTAGACCCTGGGGGGTTCCCTATATGCTCACGGCTGCATTTCCCCCTTTAGATATACCATTTCAGGATTGGGGTCTAATCGCCAAAGACTTAACATTTATCATATGGCATGTGTCAATAAATGTTCTCTAAACAAAATGAAGTCTCCTGATTGAACTGCAGTTAGACTAGGTTTATGAAGAAAACGTGTTAGAGCTATTACTGAGTGTAAGGTATTACCGGGAACATGAGTGAAAAATAGTCACGTGTGATTAATGCAGTCAGGGGTGATTAACGCAAAATGTCATCATTTAAAACTGTTCTTCGTGTTCTCCGTAGACGCTCTTCTGACTGTTTCCAAAGACTTGAGGGACAGAAATGTCTGGAAACGAACCAGATGCAGGATGACGGGTCTGAATGCGCTGCCTGGTGGTTAACAATATCCCCTCATGGAGCTAGAAGATAAACAGGGAAAAACTCTAGTTATATAACCAACAATCACTTTGAACAGAGATCTCTTAAAACATGACTAATAAGTTAGACACAAGTTCAATGTGATGTTCACAGAGATATTTATATTCCTGAGCTTTCCCAGTGGTGGGTTTATTTATTTAAAATATATCATTTGTAACATTTCCTTATCCAACTCTGACTGACTTCCCGCGTCCCTGCTCGCTGCCATGGACGCGGGAAGGGGGGGTGCTGAGGGGGCTGCAGCACCCCCAACTCTGACTGACTTCCCGCGTCCCTGCTCGCTGCCATCAGTGTGTGAATAAGAAGTCAAACATATAAGGCTGCTGTTATTTTGCAGCTTAAAGAATGAATGAGAAAGTTGATTGGTGTATTGGTATTCACACAGATTCCATTCAATCACTATATTTAATTTCACTTTTCAAGGGATATTCTACGCATCCTTTGTTTGTAGGACCGTATCAGACCCGAACGCAGTTCTTGAGCAAAACGTTTCAATCTGTTAAACTGTCACTGGAAACAAAACATGTACGTTTTATGGGTTTATTTGAACAATGTGATCGCATGATTCCTTCAGGTATTATTGCAGATCTGCTGTAAGCTAGCTAGCTAACCTTGTCCTTTCAGATATACTGACAAAACACTTTATACTGTTATATATCTTTATAATATCTACACTTTTTAGGGTCCGCGTTTCAGTTTTGTTTTGAGCTTCTTGCAGCGTTTTCTTTTCACAGCGGTTCGTTAATGTAGGGCTTTTAGTAAATGCTGCACATGTTTCCTCAAATTGGTGAATATGCTCTAAATGCTGTGCATGTGTTGTCAAGTTGCTGAAGATGTTTCTTCATGTGTTTTGGCACATTTGTGTTTTTATATTGCATTGTATTTGAGGCTTCAGCGCCTTTCTCTGTGTTAGACATAAACGGGAGGCACAGATTTCATCAAGTGATACATACATATATTACCTATGATTTGATTGCATGTACGATAGTTTGGATATATTTGGAGGATATGAGTTCAATACTCACATTTCTTCTGGATCTTGGCTCTGATCGTCTTTCCTCTGATCCTGTAGGGATGAACACAATCCAACAGTTTTAGATCAACTTAAAATAAGTGTTTGTTCTTTGAGTCAGCTTCAGAGTCCTGATCCAATGCTTCACATCCCATCATATCCTCTCTGCAAACACTACGACTGACTGCCACAGCTCTCAGCTGCATTACAGAGTTAACTAGGCATTAGTCCAGGAACAAAACAACTTCATAGAAAAAACAAACAGACTCACTTTTTAACTGTAAAATGTGTCTGTTAATGAGTTGCACCTGACTGAAATGTGGCTTTGCATTGTCAGCTTGCATTATATTGTTCTTGGGAGAACGCAAGAAAAGAAACATGAGATGAACAAAAGGAGAAAGTTCAGATAAATGGTAACATCACTGATGTGTTGTGCTAAGCTAGGCTACGCCTGGAAGGTGGAACTGGAGAGATTCCCCAGTGAGAGGAACACATCCACCTCCCTGTGTTCAATACAATCCTGCTGAACCAGCAGAGACTGAGTCGACCCCTTACTGACCTGAGAGTCTCCAGTCTGCAGTCTGGACTCTCCAGAACATCTCTCAGCAGCTCCACTCCTGAATCCTTCAGAGCGTTGTTACTCAGGTCCAGATCTCTCAGATGGATGTTGGACTTCAGAGCTGAGGCCAGAGCAGAACAGCTGATCTCTGACAAGCTGCAGCCCCTCAGTCTGAATAAAGAACACATGATGTAAGTTTAGAAAACAACGTTCCTGATTGAAATAATGAAAGGTTTAATAATCTGATTATAGCTGGAGAAGTAGAGAATGTAGACGTTTAGAAAGTGGACACTCCCGACAGGTTAAAAACCGTAAGATCCAAAAAGTGAAAAGAGCTCTCATTAATATGAAAGACAACGTTCTTCACCTTCAATAAAAAGTGGTGACTTCACATCATAAACTCTGCTCCTTCTACACTAACTCGTGATGTGCAGCCAGACAAATCAAAACCCACAGAAACTGATTCAACTCAAGATCACAGAGTTTACAAAGAAGTCAGGATGAATTTAGAAGAAATGTGATCAAAATAAATAGAGAATATTTATTTCAGGAATAGTGGAGACATAGATCACAGCATCTTCAGTTTAAACTATTCAGTCAGTTTGAGCATCATGCAGCTTCAGACACATGTTAGAAACAGCAACAACTGAACATATTTGTTAGTGTTTGATAGTTTTAATAGAAATATGTAATTATTGTATTCATGTGTTTATAATGTCATTTATTTAAAAACATGACGGAGAATAAAAGATGAATTCCAGGTTTTTAACCTCTTAATCCCTGAGCCTGTTTTTCAGGTCTCAGGCTCGAAAATGACATTCCCAGAACAAATGACCATATCTTCCCTTCTAAAAGGGTTAAATTAATAATCTTTTTTCTCAAAGTAATGATAAACCTGTGAGTTGGATGTAGAAAAGTCACAATCAATATAGATGTTTTTTATTTTAAAGAAAATTCAGATTTTACATAGTAAAAAACTGTAAATTATAGTGTCCGTCCAAACATTCTTTTTTACTTATAGTGAAAACTACCCTTGGATGATGGGTTAGTAGACTAAAAGCTTTAGGAATCCAAAGTAGAACATATAATAAGTACCCTGTATCAAGATTGATGCAAAACAAGTGAAATTTGACCTTTTTAGAGAGATTTAGCCAAAAACCCACTTCTGGGGTCATTTGGGTGGATTTGACCTATCTCTGGCCCCCCTTGCTCGATTTTGATTAATGAAATCTCTTTATAACCGCTAGAGCCAATGGAATCGAGGCAAAGTTATATACACACCAACACGTTAACAAATAAGGAGTGAGAGTGACGCGTTACCAAAACCGGAAGCTGCATACACTCTGGTGGCTACCATTAGCAGCTAACTTTTCCGCTCCGATTTTTACATAAAAAATGGAATTATGGATTATAAATAATTTCTTCAAAGGCACAGGTACATTATCAACCTATGGATCAATAGTTGTAGCATTTTTTTTTTTCGTTTTAATGCCATTGAACACGTCTTTTGACCTAATTGACATCTACGGTGAGACGATCTGCCGTAAAAGCTCCGTAAAGGTACGTGTTGTGATGTCTGTGTTTGCTTCCCCTGTCGCAAGTTCGGATCGCTCAGTGATGATACTATACCTAAATAATCAGTGGAGTCTCAGCTTTAATAGGCTATATTGTATGTGCAGCTACGATAAGTAATAAGGGTATCTTTATCTTGAATTGTGTGCCGCAGTGTGTTAGAATTATTTCGCTCAGGGGTCATTTTTAGACGCTTCTTATGAGACTTGTGTTTTGTTTTGGTAAAAATGGTTCATATCTTCAGTTAGCTGAGATTCTTCCCGTTAATCTGGTGTTACACATTAATAGTTTCATAAATGTTAAGAAGCCCTGAGACATTATCTCGAAAAAAAAACGGTGGGAGGGGTCCAATGGGGGGACTGCCGTGCCGACTATGATTTTTCTTTAACATAGCTCTGCTACAGTCAATGAGCTAAACCACAGAAGAAGAAAGTAGACTTTAGCATTAAGATGCTCAGTGAGGATCAGGATCATATCAGCCTGATGTCTGCAGCTCAGAGTCAACACAACTCTCACATATTCATCTCAGCACAGAAGATAGAGATGGAGAACTGACCTGAGAGTCTCCAGTCTGCAGTCTGGACTCTCCAGAAGATCTCTCAGCTCCACTCCTGAATCCTCCAGATCGTTGCCACTCAGGTCCAGATGTCTCAGATGGATGTTGGACTTCAGAGCTGACATCAGAGCAGAACAGCTGATCTCTGACAACCTGCAGTCCTCCAGACTGAATAAAGAACACATGATGTAAGTTTATAAAACAATGCTCCTGATTGAAATAATGAAAGGTTTAATAATCTGATTATAGCTGGAGAAGTAGAGAATGTAGACGTTTATAAAGTGGACACTCCCGACAGGTTAAAAACAGTAAGATCCAAAAAGTGAAAAGAGCTCTCATTAATATGAAAGACAACGTTCTTCACCTTCAATAAAAAGTGGTGACTTCACATCATAAACTCTGCTCCTTCTACACTAACTCGTGATGTGCAGCCAGACAAATCAAAACCCACAGAAACTGATTCAACTCAAGATCACAGAGTTTACAAAGAAGCAGCACCAGAGTCTGAATAAAGAACACATCATGTAAGTTCAGAGAACAATGGTCCTGCTTGAGAGAGTTCAAAGTCTCATCATCTTTTCAGACCTGGAGAGGGTTCAGATGCCAATGTCAAAAATGATGAAGATACTTTTAGAAATGTAATAGTAGATAACTTTATAGTTATAGTATATATATATATATATATATATATATATATATATATATATATATATATAGTATAGGTTCTTCTGATGCATTGATAATGCATCAGAAGAACCTCCTTCATCTCCCTCACAGCTCATCAGTACTGACAGCATCTTCACTGACTCATGGAGCACAGTGAGAGTCTGTGGAAGCTCACACACTGTCCCCTCACACATTTACTTTCTCTGCTTTCTGTTATTCTTGTCAAATATTCAGCAATTTAGAAAGAAATATGAACTTATTGAAATATCTTTGTACTCAGGCAAATGATGGAATTATAAATATATCAATTATAAATACAGTACAAAACCACATGAACTACAGCCAGTGATCTGACCTCAGAGTCTTCAGTCTACAGTTTGGACTCTTTAGTCCAGAACTCAGCTGCTCCACCTCTGAATCCTGCAGGTCTACTTTCACCTCCAGCTCTCTCAGATCGGAGGGGTCGGACTTCAGAGCTGAGGCCACGACTTCCCAGTCTAAGAATCCACTGGCAGGAATTCTGTTAGAACACATATTACAGAATTTGTTTATATAACAAAAAGAGGAAACAACATATTTACTTCATGCATTTGAGGAAAAACATTTTGAATATCATGATCTGATTACCACTGGATGTTAGTCTATTTAATATTTGGTAGAGTGTGATCTGATCCCATGTCTGTCACCTCTCTGCTAGCTACCTTCTAGACTAGAGAAGACTAGAGTCAACATAAATCACATATTGCTCTGTGTCTAATTTAACGATAAAGAAACTGCAATCATTTCATAATAACTTTACTGCATTCAATGACATATGTAAAGTTATTCTGTATGTTCTGATCACATGTTGCTGTGATAAAACATCCTTCATATTATTTTGACAAGGAAAATGAAGAGAAGAAAAAACTAACATTTTAAAATGATTAGAATAATTATATTAATTCAATTTAGCTCTCACAGTATGTGAAACAGCAACAAGTTGTATAGTGTTTATTTTAAAAACTAAAATCCTTATCTACACTAATCTATAAAGCTAATCACATCTGGACTCACACAGCCTCCCTGCAGTTCCTCACAGCTGGAATCAGTCTCTGTCGTCTCTCCTCTGATGTTTTGGACTTCTCCAGGTCCAACTCATCCAGAACCTCCTCTGACATCTCCAGCATGTAGGCCAGAGCTCTGCAGCGTGTCACAGAGAGTCTCTTCTCTGATCTGTTCTCTGACTTCAGGAACTCTGTGATCTCCTGATGTACTGAGTGGTCCTTCATCTCTGTCAGACAGTGGAAGATGTTGATGCTCCTGTCATCAGAGACTTCATCAATTCTCATCTTCTTCAGGTTGCTGATGGCTCTCTGGATGATTTCTGGTCTGTTGTCTGTGCGACCCAGCAGGCCTCCTAAGAGTCTCTGGTTGGACTCCAGAGAGAGGCCGTGGAGAAAGCGGACAAACAGGTCCAGGTGGCCATTTTTACTTCTGAGTGATTTCATCATGGCTCTCTTTAGGAAGACATCCAGGGATGGGTAATCCTGATCACTGTTAAACATGTTGTTATAGTCACTCTGCAGGGATGGGTGATCATCATCACTGCTATCACTGTTGTTATAGTCACTCTGCAGGGATGGGTGATCATCATCACTGCTATCACTGTTATCACTGTTATCACTCTTGTCATCGTCCAAGTCTCCCTGCGGGAAGTCCTTCAGTACCTCTGTGTCTCTGTTGGAGTAACAGTGCAACATGTAGACTGCAGCCAGGAACTCCTGAATGCTCAGATGAACAAAGCAGTAGACTGTTTTCTTGAATATCACACTCTCTCTTTTGAAAATCTGTGTACAAACTCCTGAGTGCACCAAGGCCTCGGTGACATCAAGACCACAGCGCTCCAGGTCTTCTTGGTAGAACATGATGTTTCTTTTCTCCAGATGTTCAAACGCCAGCCTCCCCAGCTTCAGAAGAAGCTCCCTGTCAGCCTCTGTCAGCTGCTGTGGATTCGTCTCATGTCCCTCTTCATACTTCTGCTTCTTCCTCTTGGTCTGGACCAGCAGGAAGTGTGAGTACATGTCAGTGAGGGTCTTGGGCAGCTCTCCTCTCTGGTCTGTAGTCAACATGTGGTCCAGAACTGCAGCAGTGATCCAGCAGAAGACTGGGATCATGCACATGATGTGGAGGCTCCTGGAGCTCTTGATGTGAGAGATGATTCTGCTGGACAGGTCTTCATCACTCCATCTCCTCCTGAAGTACTCCTCCTTCTGGGCGTCAGTGAAGCCTCGTACTTCTGTTACCCTGTCCACACACTCAGGAGGGATCTGATTGGCCGCTGCAGGTCTGGAAGTTATCCAGACGAGAGCCGAGGGAAGCAGCTTCCCCCTGATGAGGTTTGTCAGCAGCACGTTGACTGAGGACTGCTGAGAGACTTCAGACACAACCTCATTGTTTCTGAAGTCCAGAGAAAGTCTGCTTTCATCCAGGCCGTCAAAGATGAGCAGCACTTTACAGACAGCCAGCTGCTCTGCTGTGACCTTCTGTAAGGTCGGATGGAAAACATGGAGCAGCCTGAGAAGACTGTACTGCTCACCTTTGATCAGGTTCAGCTCCCTGAAGGAGAGCGGGATCACCAGACTGACATCTTGGTTTCCCAAACCCTCGGCCCAGTCCAGAGTGAACTTCTGCACTGAGAAGGTTTTTCCAACTCCAGCGACTCCGTTGGTCAGGACCGCTCTGATGAGAGTCTGTTGGTCAGGTGAGGCTTTAAAGATGTCCTGGCACTTGATTGGAGAGTAATGGAGGGCATTTTTCTTGGAAGCTGTCTCCAGCTGCCTCACCTCATGTTGGGTATTAACCTCTTCACTCTGGCCTTGTGTGATGTAGAGCTCAGTGAAGATCCTGTTGAGGAGGGTTTCACTTTCACCAGTTCCTTCAGTCACACGTTCACATCTCCTCCTCAGACTGAGCCTATGTTCATCACCTCCTGCAGACCACGTTCTGCTGAAAGAGAAGGACACGTGAGAATAAAAAAAACGTTTTAAATGAACTTATATTATGTACAACACAACAGGAAGAATCCTGTTTTCAGGCCTGAAGACACCAGGAGACAGCAGTGTTTCCCACAGAATTATACTTGTGGTGGTAGCCGTGCACAACGGGCGGGGGGGGGGGGTGCTAATGGAGCACGCTCTTGAACTGTTAGTTTGCCGGAGCGTCGCAGCGGGGTTACTGCATGAGTGATGTGCAACAACATTTGACTTCTCTTTTTCTCGTAAGGTCTCCCTTTCTGTTGGTCGCTTATTAGCGGACCCTTCACACGATGGCAGAGCGAACAGGTACAGGAGGCGTGGAGCGAGGGATCATTGTCCACTAGTTCATCGATCGCAGATGGCGTAGTGCTGGCGGACGGATAAAAAAAACAAAAACCTAAATAGGTCGTGAAATATACTTGGGCGGCCGTTAATATTACATTACATTTCATTTAGCTGACGCTTTTATCCAAAGCGACTTACAATAAGTGCATTTGACCAAGACGATACAAACTTGAAGAATCATATAAGTACATCAGGTTTCATAGAGACAAACCATTTCAAGTGAAACTCAACAGGCTTTAGATAAGCCAGTGCTTTGTTAGTATCTAAGTGCTTTGTTAGTATATAAGTGCTTTGTTAGTATATAAGTGCCTTGTTAGTATCTAAGTGCTTTGTTAGTATATAAGTGCTTTGTTAGTATATAAGTGCTTTGTTAGTATATAAGTGCTTTGTTAGTATATAAGTGCCTTGTTAGTATCTAAGTGCTTTGTTAGTATATAAGTGCTTTGTTAGTATCTAAGTGCTTTGTTAGTATATAAGTGCTTTTTATTTTGTTTGGTGTTTTGTTTTTAAATGTATTGCTCGAAGTGGAGTCGAAAGAGATGAGTTTTCAGTCTGCTCTGGAAGATGTGTAAGCTTTCTGCTGTCCTGATGTCAATGGGGAGCTCATTCCACCATTTTGGAGCCAGGATAGCAAACCCACGTGTTTTTGCTGATGGGAACTTGGGTCCCCCTCGCAGTGCGGGTGCAGCGAGCCGTTTGGCTGATGCAGAGCGGAGTGCACGTGCTGGGGTGTATGGTTTAACCATGTCCTGGATGTAGGAAGGGCCAGATCCATTCACAGCATGGTACGCTAGTCCCAGTGTCTTGAAGTGGATTCTAGCAGTTACTGGAAGCCAGTGAAGGGAGCGGAGGAGCGGTGTGGTGTGGGAACATTTAGGAAGGTTGAAGACCAGACGAGCCGCTGCATTCTGGATGAGCTGCAGAGGTCGGACGGCACATGCAGGTAAACCTGCCAGGAGGGTAGTAATATACTTGGGCGGACGTTAATATACGTTAATATACCTGGGCGGATGTTAATATACCTGGGCGGACGTTAATATACCTGGGCGGACGTTAATATACCTGGGCGGACGTTAATATACCTGGGCGGATGTTAATATACTTGGGCGGACGTTAATATACCTGGGCGGACGTTAATATACCTGGGCGGACGTTAATATACCTGGGCGGATGTTAATATACCTGGGCGGATGTTAATATACCTGGGCGGACGTTAATATATCTGGGCGGACGTTAATATACCTGGGCAGGCAGCCCAAGTAAAGTCTATCTGTGGGAAACCCTGGACAGATGTTCAGACTTACTTTTTACTGTTCTGGTCTGACTGGCTGTCTGCAGTCCAGCTCTGGTTTTGGATCTTTCTCCACACTGGGGATAGCAGGGGCCTCCTGATGGAGGTCTCTGCTCCCAGTATGAGGTGATGCACTGTCTGCAGAACCAGTGTCCACAGCTGGTAGAGACTGGATCCTTCAGGACGTCCTGACACAGAGCACAGCTGGACAACTGCTCATCCACAGGAACACCACTCTTCCTCTTCCCTCTGTGGAGATCAACACATCCTTTATAGCACTTTACGGTGACTGATTTTCACCAATGGTACAACCCAAAGTTGGCAAATTCTTGTTTTTTTAAAGTTCTTTATCTGTAGATGATATTTCATCCTGGTAACTGTTCCCAAGCGGTAGATATTTAGTGATTCATATAATTATGAAACAAAACGCCCTTCTGTCTGCAACATCATCGCCTACAGCATGTTCACTGTACCTCACAAGTTTTACTACGGCTAAATTAAACTTGTTTATGTAATAACTACATAATGATTCCAATTTGTAAAAGCAGTGAACACTTTGTCAGGTCTGTCCACAACATGGAAAGCAAATCACTTTCAAAATGCTAGTTCCTGAATGGACATTAGATTGAGTGGAGACTTAGCTAACATTGTGGCTGCTCCATTAAAAGTCAAACTAACAATCAATGGTTGATACACATAAATGTATAACTTCAATTCAATATGAAGTACTGTAGAGCTCTAGGTGCCAATATTTCCCTTATCCCTCTCATGACTTTTTATTTAATGCTTTATAACAGCTGTAATAGTTCGTTTAGAAATCCTAGAAACACTTTTACGGCAGCTCTCATTTACGGTAACTCCTTCTGACGTCTTAGCTACCCACGTATAATATATAAACAAAGTCTTGGCTTTCAGAATATGAAACTTTTATTTCCAAAATCACACGATAAATACATTTGTGAAGCTTGTAAAGGGAAGATGACAGGCACCTCTCACTCGCAATCTGCTCCTCCGCAGCAGCGCACCCCTCCCTCCGGCTGAAATTATGAATGTACAGTAAGGCATAGTAATCATAGATAACACGGCAGGGTCCGTTACAGTTTGTTTTCATCTGATTTCAAATAAACAAAGTCTTGGCTTTCAGAATATTAAACTTGTTTCGGCAAATTTAGATGATAAATACAACTATGAAGCTTGTAACGGCATAATTACTTAAGCGGAGAACGGAGTAATTTAACGTTACAGCAGGCATAACAACAGCCGGTGTTTATTGTATTATTATATATAGTCGTTATTCATTTGTTTTAAAGCTCAATAAGGAAGATTTAAACTTTCACACACGTTGACCGGCGAAAAACTCTGCCCGGTTCCCTCGGCCCCCACCACGTTGAATAAACAGAAGGCTGCTTTTGTGGAGGAAGTTACAGCGCTACGTACAGGCTCGGCATATGTACTGCAGCTTTTTCCAGCGGTATCCATAAATCTCTTAATTTTGACCTCAAAGTGCACCAGATTGATGCATTTAACTTCAATATAAAGAAAAACATCTTCTGTTGTAACAACAATAACATTATAAATAGTAACATAGCTGAACATGGTATTGCACATTTGGCTTTCAGTGTTACTGACCTGAGATGTTTTTATTACATGAATTAAGGTGACTGAGGCTTTTTAACATAGATTTTTCCAATGTCTGAGATGATAAATACAACTATGAAGCTTGTAACGGCATAATTACAAGCGGAGAACGGAGTAATTTAACGTTACAGCAGGCATAACAACAGCCTGTGTTTATTTTATTATTATATATAGTCGTTATTCATTTGTTTTAAAGCTCAATAAGGAAGATTTAAACTTTCACACACGTTGACCGGCAAAAAACTAACCGGATATGAAGGATTTTCAGAATAAAAGCTTGCCATTGAGATTTTATGAGAACTTCCGGGTTTTTCACAATAAAACAGCTTTTAAACTGACGGCATGTTTTAGACTAAATAATGCTATTAAACATTGATTTTAATTTCTAACATTTTGCATTTCAGACTTCTGGAATATATTACGATATGAACAGGGTTGGGAGGGTTACTTTGTAAATGTAATCAGTTACTGATTACTGAATACATGGCTCTGAAAGTAATCCGAATACAGTTACAGTTACGTGTCTTAAAAAAGTAACGTAATCAGATTACTTTTAGATTACTTTTGGATTACTTTCTTTATCCATCACAGATGATAAAATAATAAAACAAATACAAAGAGGAAACAATTTGATATGTCTACCATTTATTTTAGGAGTATTAATATTTTTTCAGATAGGATCATACATTTACAAAACATCACCATGTTTTTATTTAACAAAATAATCTACAAGAAATCCTAATCTTATATTATAAAACATCACCATGTTTTTATTTAACAAATTAATCTACAATAAATCCTAATCTTATATTATAAAACATCACCATGTTTTTATTTAACAAAATAATCTACAAGAAATCCTAATCTTATATTATAAAACATCACCATGTTTTTATTTAACAAAATAATCTACAAAAAATCCTAATCTTATATTATGGTCCTATATTTAACAAACTATGCCTATCTGCGGCCTATCTACAGTATGCCTATCTTTGGCCTATCTACAGTTTGAATAAACAGAAGGCTGCTTTTGTGGAGGAAGTTACAGCGCTACGTACAGGCTCGGCATATGTACTGCAGCTTTTTCCAGCGGTATCCATAAATCTCTTAATTTTGACCTCAAAGTGCACCAGATTGATGCATTTAACTTCAATAGAAAGAAAAACATCTTCTGTTGTAACAACAATAACATTATAAATAGTAACATAGCTGAACATGGTATTTTACATTTAGCTTTCAGTGTTACTGACCCGAGATGTTTTTATTACATGAATTAAGGTGACTGAGGCTTTTTAACATAGACTTTTCAGTGTCCCACATACCCACATACCGTTCACCATCCCCCACCCCCCTACTGTATGTTGATTTTTGACTTTGTTTGCCTACATGTAAATGGGTGGCATTTAGTACCTACCCCCCTCTGAGTGAATACCTGTTGTACCTGTCCGGGGCTAAGCCCATAGGACGATGCTCTGATGTCATCACCCTCGCACATTTGTCATATGTTTACAAAAAACGATGTTAACACTTTCTCGTTCTTAATATATGCTATATTTAGGGTCGATATGTGTTGAATTTACTTTAAAATAGCAGATCACTGTGACCGGATATAGTTTTTTCGCTTAGTGAACATGTGTTTCTTCCTCCGCGGCTCCTCCGTGCAGAG